GCTGCTGCTGCTGCTTTTGGCCAGTACCAGCCCCAACAGCTGCAGGCAGACCGTATGCAATAGCAGATGGACTCCTGAAGGAAGCTCTTTCTTTCTCTTCCTCTTTTCAGCCTTCCAGTATAAGTAGTTAATCAGAGACAATTGATATTAACTAAGGAGCTTTAAGGAAAGTGATGCTATTGCGAAACTAAAGATTTTTTTATTCCACTGTCTTCATACAGTGTGCATCCAAATCATTTTGTTAGAGGGGAGGGGTAGTGCGGCATGTCTAGTTTCAAGTATCAAGCCAGAAGAAAATGGGAAAAAAAAATACTGTACTGTCATGAAAGAGTGGCAGGAGTAGCAATGGGACTTCATATTTACAAACAAACAAGAACCAAAAAAAGCAAAGGTGTACTTTTTACAGTATCAGGGAAGCAAAACTGCCTTTTATTAGTAAGAAAATGGTATTTGAAAAGTTTGAACCAGGGAAAAAACTGAATCAGCAATATGTAATCTTTATCCATTTTAAGAGGAAACAAGCTTAAAGCATTGATTGTCCTTTCTAGCTTTCAGAAGTTGTCTTCGTGAGATAGTACCTTCTCACTGTCTCACTAACGGGCATCGAACAACCCAAGGAAGATGGCCGGCTAGTAAGATGGCGGACAGGCACCAAAGTTATTTTCTTCTCTGTCCTCTGGATGAGTGGAACTATGGAGCAAGTGATGTGGAAGTAAGGGGTGCAACAGCTGTAGAGACAATCAATAACACAGACAGTTCTCGACAGAACACATCACTCGTGCTCATGTGATGAGCTTGTCACATCCTAATCCCTCGCCCCATCCTGTTTCACTTTTGGGAAACTTTAATTGCTGGTGTCAGCTATTCTGATTCTAAAATAGGATCAGCCCTTTACTACAACAGCCTTCTCTTTCTATTTATTGCATCTATTCGTAACTTGTGAATAAAGGCAGGAAGAAGCTTAATGAATTAAAGCCTCTAAGAACTGTTTTAAGGGAATTTTCTTTTCTGAAACCATTTGTACAACTTTAATATCTATTTCAGGATTATATTTAAAATATTTATTAGCAAACATACAGTACACGAGGCGACTTTTGTTACCAAGACTGCAGTTCTTGAAGGGTTAATGGTATGTGATTTATACTGTGCCTTAATTGTTATGCTATTTAAAAAGAAATATTTATTTTGAAAGTTTTACTATGCTGCGCTCTAAAGAAAGCAACTTTAGATGTGACACTGTAAAATTATGTATTCATCTCATGGCATAAATTATTTAGTAGGCTTAGATGTAGCATATTAAATATTAACCTAATTAACTAAGGATGTTGACTTGGATTTATTTAAATTCAGTATGTGCACTGTATGAGGGTACTCCTAAATTAACACTTTTTTAGGTTTTTACATAAACTATTGCTAGTTCATTCTTTTTCCCTTGACTAGTTTTTCATGTAGACCTCTCAAATACATTAGTGCCGTTCTCTCACTCATCTGTATGTAGACTGACTATTTTTCCCTTTGCTAGAAAATGCTGCTTTACATTGTCCTGTGAAACTACAATACTTGCAATTTTTATTCTTGACCGAAATGGAATTTAATATTTTACACTGTATTGGATTTTTTTATACTTGAACAATTTCATACAAGGGAAGACAGGATAACATGTTTATGGACTTTATCCAGTGTCACTGGATTTATTTTAAGTATTCTGAATACTAGCCAGTGTTAACAATGTAGACATGACTCTCTTGTGCATATTATTTATTCAGTATGTATATTGCTTTACAATATTTCAGATCTCTTAATCTATTCACTCATATTAAAAGAATAAAAAACGTTGTCACATCCTGTTTAGTGATGTTCTTGCTCAAATTGTCTTAGATCTTGTTTAGTTAAAACTAGGAGGGGGGGGTCAACCTTTTACGTAATTTGCCGCATCTGTAGGGTGAATAGCAGCATATGCACTGGCTTTAAATACATAGACTGATATGAACTGTATTACAGGGAGGAAATTCTACAGAGAAGATGGAGAAGACCCACCCTGAGACTTATCATAAAATAATGCAGAGTAAAAGGGACTTTAGGAGTCCCAGGTTGCTTATGGCTTTGTCCAGTAATCCTCTTGTGTGGAGACTGCACAATCCCTCTGGGTAATCTATTCCACTGCCTAATTATCCCCATAGTATCGGGGTTTTTTTTTTCCTTCTATCTAGCCAGAGCCTCCCCTGTTTGTTTATAACTTTCGTCAGTCATTCTTTGGCAGAGAGCCCAGCCCTATCTTCTCAGTAACCTCCTCTTAGGAACTGGAAAGTTGCTGTTCTCTTCTGGAGGCTGAACAAACCCCAGTGCTTCAGCCTCTCCTCACAAGTCTCATGCTCCAACCCCCAGGCATCCTGCTGGCCCTCCAATGGAGTCCTTCAGCTTTCATGTACTGGGAGAGTCAAGACTGGGCCCACTGTGCCAGCTGTGGTCTAATGAGTGCTGAGTAAAAGGAAATAATTTGCTTGATCTGCCATCTATGCTCCTGTTCATCCAGTCTGATGTACTTTCACTGCTGCCAGGGTGACAAACTCAGTGGCAAACTTGGCCTACCCCAAGCCCTCCATGTCCTTTTCAGCAGAGCTGCTACCAAGCCAGTCATGCCCTGGCCTATGCAGGGAATTGGTCCATCTCAGATAAAGGACTCCCTGTTTGTCCTCACTGAATTCCATGAGGTTCCTGTTGTCCTAGTCCTCTAGAAAGTGTAAACCCCTCCAAAAGACAGGCCTGATCTCAAGCATATCAACTCTATGGATGGTTGAGTCACCATCCCCGGAGGTATTTAAAAGATGTGTAGACATGGTGCTTAGGGACATGGTTTAGTGGTGGACTGGGCAGTGTTACATTTATGGTTGGACTCGATGATCTTGAGGGTCTTTTCCAACCTAAATAATTCTATAACTACACTCTCCATTTAGTATCATCAGTTGTCAGATCTGACAGTACTGCATCCTGTCTCTTCCTCCAGGTCATTGATAAAGATATCAGACAGGACAGACCCCCGAGGAACTCTGTAACCAGCCTCAGGACAGAACATGAGCTCTTTTGACCCATGATCCAGTCCATTTTTTGCCTGTCTAGGCTGGACCATCTGAAATTGGGTACAGGGATTCTGTGGGAGACTACATGGAAAGCCTTGCTGAACTCAAGACATCCTGTGCTTTCCCCTCATCCACAGATGAAGTAATCTCATCACAGGAGGCAATTAGGTTCGTCTGGCATGATTTACCCTTGTAAATCCATGCTGGTTATTCTCAATCACCACCTTCTTCATGTGCCCAGAAGTTACTTCCAAGATTGCTCACTCCATGATTGTCCTGTAGTAGATTGTCCTTCTTGCCCTTTCTGAAGATGCATGGATCATCTGCCTTTCCCCAGTCATGGAAGACCTCCCCAATCTCTACAACCTTTCAAAAATGATAGTGAGCAGCCTCACAATGACAACAGCCAGCTCTCTCAGTACCCTTGGGTGTAGCCCATCTGGTCCCATGGACTTCTGTGGACTGAGATTCCTCAAGAGGTCCCTGAATCAATCCCCTTGCACACCTGGCAGTTTCTACTCTTCTTGAACCCTTCCTGTAAGTACAAAGTGTTGTTATGAAAAGCCTAAAGGCCAGGGCACCTTTTTCATATAGTACTTGAAAGGGGAAGCACTGAAGTAGCTGCTAAGATCCGGTTGATGATGGATTTGTAATGTTCAGGAATACGCAACAATTCAGTATCAGTCCAAGCCACTAATGACCAAAAGCAGTTGCTGCGTGATGCCTGAAAGAAGCCAGTGTGAAATGCATTATAGTCTTGGCCAATTCTCTGGGGAATGGCGGGAGGGGGGGGGGTGTTAAGATAATATTCATATTGAAATTTATTACTGCAGCTGTCACTCTTCTAGTGGCTTCAGCAGAAGCACAGGCTTGACTGCAGAATTTGAGCTGCTCTTTCACCCACAAAAGTGATCTTTTTCATCTGGAAAAGAGGGCAGAAGTGATACTGAAGTGATAGAAAAGACTTTTCCTGGTCTTGGGATCAGACTTCATTTCACCACGGAGGGTGATGGGACTCAGTTGTCCAGAAGTGGTTCGCTCGCTGACATCCTGGGTTTATGCTGTCATGTTCTGTTCTTAACGACCGCTTATAGCCTGTTTGCTGAGAAGTGTTGCCGAACTGCCTTTTGCAATCTGACCTTAAGATCTGCGACCTTGCAGAGTGCACTGTAGTGTTCTTTCTGCTAAGAAGCATATAAACACCCAGCGGGGAGGTGGGTAGGAAACACTTAATGAATGCCATTTTCTACTCTCTTCTCCCATTTCCCTGCCCCAGAGAGGGTTTGCCTACAGGACATGGTATCAAGTAGAAATGAAAAACAGAGGTTCCTCTGAGTGGAAGATGGAGGATACAGATGGCTCAGGAAATTGTATGGCACACTAACCTATTATTCGATATAGGATGAAGAAGGCATTTTTGTCCTACATATAAACACCCCTGCCAATGTCCTGGGACTTTCCCCTTCCTCTGTGTGGAGGTGACAGACACCTCAGGGTGGGGCGTAAAGGGGAATGCTTACTGCCCTGTAGGGGAACTGTGTTGTGGTAAGCCACAGGAGGAACAGAATAAAAGTTTATGATTCAGTTTATAAAGGTCAATTGTGTGTTGGGTCTGTAACTTGACAGATTAAATAACCTCAGCAAAAAATGTAAATGTGGAAGTTCCACTAGCAAACCTAGCTTTGGGCATACAACATGAACACTCTTATTTTTGTTAAAGGAGTAGCTGAAAAGACCTTTGTACATAAAATAAACCTCAGTATCACCTCACACACATTTGAAACACAAATAGTTCGTATTTCCACGACCAAAATAAAATAACAGAGAAACAGAAGCACTTAATTCTGAAATACATGAATACTCAGCAGAAATATTATCATTTTACTTGAGAGATGTCATATATGTAAACAGCAAGAAATTGCACGCACAACAATTTCCAGTTGTGTTTCCAAAACCTTCAAAAGTTACCAGTGCTGACTTCCTTGCAGAGGGAGGGGAGGAGGGAGAAGTTGAAACTAGGAACACCATTGCTAAGGAATGTGTAGATTAAAAATGGTGTAATGCCTTGAAAGGCATTGATGAGCTGCCTGCTAGAATTTTAGCTTTTCCTAAAATTTGCATGTTCCTATTAACTAGTGAGCAAAACTTGGCATTTTTCAAACAAGTGAAAGGACTATATTGGGATTAAATTAATGATCCAAGCATTCAAAGTACTTCTTAGTCTTGTTCATCAGATGCTGAGATATTTCAAACTGAGTAATTCCCCCTAGTTATGCTCAAAACTTGATGAGAAAAAGCATTCTATTCTGAACCTATGTTTCAGTTTTAAAGAGCTCGCACATATAAGTTGAATTGTCTTCAGTTCAATTTCAATTTATTTTCCAGGTTTTGGAGATAAATAAACATGTAAACAGTGCACTCAGACTGCAAAGTATATAACTTTTGGGTTGTGTTTTCCTGTGTGCTTGAACTTCAAACCATTAGGTTGCTTCCTCAAACTAGCTCTGGGCAAAGTCTAGCTGAAAAAGCTCAGGCCCATACGATTTATTTTTTTTTTAAAGAAAAAATTATGAGCAAGTAAAAACTGAGGATTATGATGGAATTTGGCCTTGTAACTATCACCAAAACATACAATGCTGTGAATGGGATACAGTAGGAAGAACGGGATAATGCAAGAAAAGGAAAACCACTCAGCCTTACGCTACGCTTAATATTACCACAAGGAATACATATTACAGCCTATTGATTAGCAAGAGTATATTTCAAGATGCGTGCTAGAAGTTTACATCTAGCTGTTCTTTGTATATCCCTGAAAACAATGTGGAAATGCTCTTCTAAGCTAGTTTGCTGCATTCATGCCACCATATTATCGGGCTTAAGGATCCCAAGGAACAGATTCATTATATTGTTATATACTACATTTAGCAAAACCAAGAAAACACCTTGCAGTAGCAGCAACTAAAGATTTTTAAGGACTTTGAAAATAGCATGGTTACATGTGAATTTACAAAGGCTTACTATGACCGATCATTGGGCTTTGGGGGTTTATTTACTGATTCTTTTTCTCCTCCAAAGCCCAGTCTAAAATTGTAAGAAAAAAAGCTAGTGTCAAAGATTAAGGGGAAAAAATACAACTATGATTATGTTCAAACATGCAGATGTGCGCACAGACCAATTATCAGCATTTCTCAACGCAGAGAAAATTAGCTCTGGAACATTTTCCAGTTCCATGGGCCAGGTTTGCTGAGATAAGTCATGAATTTGGCCTACCTTACACCATCATTATTTTTGACATAAGCAGCCTGGGATTAAGGAGGAACCCACAAAAGCCTGTTTCATCACCAAGCACCTGAAAGTCAAAAGATACGGATATCTGAAACAATTGGTGAGAGGTCTCTGATATACTCTTAAACTCAGTACCCTTGTGTTAATCTTCAGATCAGACTTCATAGGTGTGCCTGCTGCTTCTTGTCCCCTGTCTAGATGTGGCTACTGTGGGTGATGTGCTCTCTGCTTCTCAAGAGTGAGTAAATGTTTCAGTTACATTAAGAAAACCCCACAGTCTTCCACCTCAAAAATATCTGAACTTTACGAAATCTGGAAAAATCTTTACAAAAGAGCTCTTCCTATCCTTGTTCTGAATTCACCAATTCTATGTGAACCAGGGCAAAAAGATGTCAAAATACCAAAACTGACAGAGGCAGATTGTAAGCAAAGCTCAGTGAACCCACCACCTGTCATTCAGCTGTTAAAAGAGCTTTGTCA